TTCTCAAATATTTTTCTTTAAAATCTTATATTCGGCTGTAATTCTCCAACAGAATTAGATTCACAAAGATATTAAGAAGTTAAGTGTAAATTAAAACAACTGCATATTGTACATATATATTAAATTATTTACATATTTATTATGTATATCTGTTCTTACAAAAGCTACATATACATTGAGTATTACATAAATTATACCTTATTTCAACAACTCTTATTTTTTCTGTCTGACATGTCAAGCTTTATAAATCTTTATATTTATTTCTTCAATCCGTCCAAGTTATATCTTTCATATTTGTCCAATTTTTTCTGTTGTGTCCTGAAGTAAATGTATTTATAACAGAGAAAAGTGATATGATAAAGTTGTTATTTTCCTAGCTGATTTTATTATTTTGTTCATGTCAAATGTAGAATGAATGTTCAATTTTTCCAACAACACAACATTTGTTCAGTCTTTCAAATTAATTAAAGACATATTATTTTCTGTGATAAAAGATAGCTAGTCATAGTGATTGTGTATTCCAGTAAGTGACATGTTTGTAAATCCTGGTCAGTGACATGTTTATAAATCCTGATCAGTGACATGTTTGTATTCTTGGTCATTGATATGTTTGAAAGGTGTTAATGCTTTAAATTACGGTATTTGTGAAACCTTTCTGTGATGGTACTTATAAGAGGATATAATGCAAATTTAATTTTTGAAACAAGTTAAAATTTTAAAACTTTTATGGTTGTATTTGGAAAACCCTAGACTGCATTGATGTCATTACTAGTTTAATTAATGTTAACAAATTATTGCAGTGAAAGATCAACAAATCTTAAGATGTAATGATATATAATGACTAGAGTAGAACAGAATACATATATCTGATAAATACCGGTTTGTTTGATATAAGGATTAGTACTTGTTATTTCTGATAACACATACTAGTCCCAATCTGTAGGGTATATGATATTTCTGTAGTGATGTCCAAATGATTCTTGTCTTTTTTCTTCCAAAGATCTTTTTAGTTATTGTAACAACACAGTAATGTTCACAAGTGTCCAGTTCACTTAAGTCATGTAAATACAAGTGGAGCAACACCACCAACACTTTTCTCTAAAGTTTTAGTGAATTCTGTGCATCCTTTTTAGTTAATGCCATTGTATGACTGCAAGTCACTAGCCTGCAGAATTAGGGATTTTTACTGAAATTTCCTGGCCAGAAGTTGTAGATAAAGTTGAGATACTAAACAACTTTTACTATGTATGAAAAAGGTTCAAATATGTAAGAATTTTTTTAAAAAACCAACAGATTTTAAGTGAACAGCACCTTTTTTTGAGATATAATTTATTTCTCGATATCAATGTAGATTTTTTCTCTTTTTCTTTCATTTTATATAAATTCTAGACACGAATTCCATGGTGATTTTATCTCCTCTGTCATATTTAATGTATTTTTTTATAGAAGGAGATCTAAAATTGATTATTTTGCAATTGTTGTTAGACAAAGATAGATATACATTATGTTAACATATATGAATACATACTAATTTCTTAGATGTCCTTGTTAAGTCTTTTATTTTTTAACTAATTATTGTTTCGATGAATGATTTTGTTCATTTACCATGAAACTAAAATTGTTTTTATAATATCATTGTTTCAAGAATACCAGTGGTAGTTAGATAAAGCTAGAAACTCTATGTAAATATGAAGTGATAATTAGTGATATAACTATATTCACTAGAACGTGAATGTTCCTGACCTTCATCAGTAGTTTGAAGATCATGTAGACTTAATATAATTACTAATTTGATAAAAATGTCAAAATCTAATTGCTCCATTATATTTATATATCCAGAAAACCACTATTTTTTTATTTCTTTTTTTTTTTACAGTTAAAAACATTGTTGTGATTCAATATCGCAATCATGGTTCGATGAAGTCATGTACAGTTGTCCAGGATTTTCCTGAGTTACGATCCTGTTTTAATATAATTGCAAAATTTATTTTTTTATTTTTTTTGGTTTTTTGTAAGTTTCAAAGTTATCAAAAGAAGAAATGTGTGAGAGTGTAGTTGTCAATTCTTTAGTGCGCTCCTGTGATAGCATGTTAACTGTGATAAGTCAGACATTGTTGGTGTTCTATAACATGTACACAAAATGTAGTGTGATCTTTGTTGTAATTCAAACTGTTTATCTCTTAGCTCTGAACATCATTGTTAAAATTTAGTATATATTTCTTGGCTAAAATAAAAAATTAATATCATGCAACACAATTACATATTTATTTTTTCTTTGTCTTTTAAAGAGTTTGATTTACAATACAACATGAATAAGTCAATAAATGTAGATGGAGTTAGGATATACAGATGTGATGTCAAAAAACACTGGAAAGATTATATAACTGTATATAGAGTTATGATATACAGATGTGATGTCTAAAAACACTCGAAGATTATATAACTGTAGATAGAGTTAGGATATACAGATGTGATGTCAAAAAACACTGGAAAGATTATATAACTGTAGATAGAGTTATGATATACAGATGTGATGTCTAAAAACACTCGAAGATTATATAACTGTAGATAGAGTTATGATATACAGATGTGATGTCTAAAAACACTCGAAGATTATATAACTGTAGATAGAGTTATGATATACAGATGTGATGTCTAAAAACACTTGAAAGATTATATAACTGTATATAGAGTTAGGATATACAGATGTGATGTCTAAAAACACTCGAAGATTATATAACTGTATATAGAGTTATGATATACAGATGTGATGTCTAAAAACACTCGAAGATTATATAACTGTATATAGAGTTAGGATATACAGATGTGATGTCTAAAAACACTGGAAAGATTATATAACTGTATATAGAGTTATGATATACAGATGTGATGTCAAAAACACTCGAAAGATTATATAACTGTAGATAGAGTTAGGATATACAGATGTGATGTCAAAAGACACTTGAAAGATTATATAACTGTAGATAGAGTTAGGATATTCAGATGTGATGTCAAAAAGCACTGGAAAGATTATATAACTGTAGATAGAGTTAGGATATACAAACATGATATCAAAAGACACTTGAAAGGTTATATAACTGTATGTAGAGTTATGTATACAGATGTGAATGTCTGAAAACACTTGAAAGATTATATAACTGTATATAGATTATGATATACAGATGTGATGTCAAAAACACTCAAAATTATGTAACTGTATATAGAGTTAGGATATACAGATGTGATGTCAAAAAACACTTGAAAGATTACATAACACTGTACAGTTATGTTATACAGATGTACTCTCAAAAGACACTTTAACTGTTAAACATTATATAACTGTATATAATATATTTTCGATTATACAGATATTCAAAAAACACTGTGTGAAATTATATAAGGCTGTATATATAGTTATGATATACAGATGTGATGTACAATGTATATACAACACTCAGTAAGACAATTATATAATTATATACAGTAAGATATACAATGTATATACATTACAAGACAGTAAGATATATAACTGTATATACATTACAGGTACAGCATATACAATGTATATACATTAAGAGACACTAAGATTATACAATGTATATACATTATGATATAAGATATACAATGTATATACATTACAGAGACATAAGATATACAATGTATATACATTACAGAGACAGTAAGATATACAATGTATATACATTACAGGGACAGTAAGATATACAATGTATATACATTACAGGGACAGTAAGATATACAATGTATATACATTACAGAGACAGTAAGATATACAATGTATATACATTACAAGACAGTAAGATTATATATACATTACAGAGGCGGTATGATATACAAAGTATATACATTACAGAGACAGTAAGACATTACAGAGACAGTAAGATATACAATGTATATACATTACAGAGACAGTAAGATATACAATGTGTATACATTACAGGGGCAGTAAGATATACAATGTATATACATTACAGGTACAGCAAGATATACAATGTATATACATTACAGAGACAGTAAGATATACAATGTATATACATTACAGGTACAGTAAGATATACAATGTATGTACATTACAGAGACAGTAAGATATACAATGTATATACATTACAGGTACAGTAAGATATACAATGTATGTACATTACAGAGACAGTAAGATATACAATGTGTATACATTACAGAGACAGTAAGATATACAATGTGTATACATTACAGGGGCAGTAAGATATACAATGTATATACATTACAGAGACAGTAATATACAATGTATATACATTACAGGGACAGTAAGATATACAATGTATATACATTACAGGTACAGTAAAATATACAATGTATATACATTACAGGGGCGGTAAGATATACAATGTATATACATTACAGGTACGGTAAGATATACAATGTATATACATTACAGGTACGGTAAGATATACAATGTATATACATTACAGGTACAGTAAGATATACAATGTATATACATTACAGGGACAGTAAGATATACAATGTATATACATTACAGGTACAGTAAGATATACAATGTATATACATTACAGGTACAGTAAGATATACAATGTATATACATTACAGAGACAGTAAGACATACAATGTATATACATTACAGAGACAGTAAAATATACAATGTATATACATTACAGAGACAGTAAGATATACAATGTTTATACATTACAGAGACAGTAAAATATACAATGTATATACATTACAAGTACAGTAAGATATACCATGTACATACATTATGCGAGCGAGTAAAATATGTTAATAAGACAACCACCATAATTATATTGGTAAATCCAAGTAAGAAATAACACGTTCTCAAATGAGAACAAGGTGAATTATATCGAAACCGCTAGGACAGCGATATAATGTATAGTAACTGATATATATCTAACGAGAATTGCTATATACAGATCCGTGTTGTTTACTACTAAGGACTTTTTAAAACTCTACAATGATACCTGTTTATCTTGTCACAGTCTGGTACTGGATTCGACAGGAACATTGTCTCGCACAGCAAGAAAGTGTCTATCATTGTCTATTTCTGTTGTCGTCTCCTCTTTATGTGACATTTTATTGTTGGATACAGAACTGCTGGAATGGGTGTTACTTAATATTGTGTGGCACCTCGATGTAGATGGACTAGAATCTCCTTTCTTATACGAAACATACATGTTATAAACTCTTTTATTACATACAAACGAGAGCATGATAAGTATACCCTGGCCAGCTATCAAAATTATAGATATGTACACAAAAACATCTAAGTGTGAAATTTCAGCGATAAAGCCAAAGAGCCATGCCGCTCCTGTCAGGGTGGAAAGCTTTACATAAATCAAAAATCGCTTCTGATGATGACGACAGGACGTAGACTTGGACATATCCGGCAGACGACTAACTTTTACTATCACAATACAGAACATGAAGATATTTGCCACAACAAGCAACATAACAGGCAACGTGAAAGTAAACAACAATGCGTTATGTTCGTTGATAAAACAAATCCGGATTCCGTAACCAGACGTACCAGTATTAACTACACTGTAGATGATTCGGCCACACACGAACACTGCACTGCTACCGTAACTATAAACAAGCGATATAAGAAAATATCGCTTTTTTTCTTCCTCAGTCAAGACATATTGTCTGTCCAAATGGTTGAATACATGAAACATGTGTATCGAACACACGTTCATGAGAAACACGCCTGCTAACATTGTAAAATGTATTATGATTCCAAATATTTCACACAAGGATCCCGTCTGAACGGCGCCTGCTCCAAAGGTAAACAGGACATGCCCGACAATCAATGTTACACACAGAGCCAAATTGAAAAGTCCAGGAAGTGTCCTTAGAACTGGAAATAGAATATACGTGATTAATGTTAAGATAAGACAAATCACCGACAAGCAGGAACACACAATAGACACCAATTCCTTGCCCAGGTCTTCTTCAGGTGGAGGCGTGTATCTTGTCATTGGAGACGCAAAGTAGTCATCTTCACAAATCAAGACCGATACCATATCGCTAGAGAGGGTGTACTCATCTGGTTGGAAACACTTCTTAGGGTTGTGAAAACAGAGCTCGTTAGTGTGCCCTGTGATGTTGAAATCGCTTAAAGACAGGTTGACATGTGGACATACAAAGGAAGGTACCAGCCGCGCCACCCATGGTTTGAAGGGACAGTTTACAGCTTCGTGATATATTTCAACACTCATCTTCTCTCCACTAGATGGGTCTTTATAATCTCTATCTATTGGGTACACGTACTCATAGCCCTCTCTTCCTGCTTCCAACTCATAAAACTTACCACCAAGCACTTCCGGTCTGGTATCGACACAAAGAAATGCACCTGGTGCAGATTCGAGATGAAATGCGGATGAGTTTAGGAAATCCTTTGCCACATCTATGGGATTGTGAAAATAACTTATAGAGAGCTCGATATGTAGTACTAAATCACCTGTATCGCTGGAACAGCTGTCATTGGTAAACAGGACCGTTAAACCACAGACAGAATCATAATAACCCATGTTTTTCAAATGTATTTTCACATATTCCTGGATGAGACGTGGAGCGAGACGAGGACATATGTCACAGTTCGTGCTGTAAGATTGAGATTTACGAAACCTTAGAAACATCTCATATCTCTGGAAAGCTATTAGACTGAAGACGCTCTCACACACGCCATGTCTGTAGGTAAAGGGCGGTAAACACGTGATCTCACGGCAAACATTCTGAAATAGAAAGACTAGAGCGTAACACTACGTATATGAGAAATATCCACTGTATGACATGAACGATTTATCTAAATTGTACTGTTTGACACTTTATTGAAAAAAAGTTTTTTTCATACAAATCATTAATTTAGAATCATACTTATAATCACTTATCAGAATACCGTGGGTCTGGTGGTATCGATTTCTGATTTTAACAAAATCGTAATTCTACCTAAAAGTATTGAAACGAAGGGAAAATAGGATCAAAAGAAACATGGACACATCTACCTTTATATCTTACAAGGAAATACAATATCTTGGCGATGATCATAAAACGTTAGGGTGTCTTCATCAACCTGCATCTCTCGAAACAATGTGATGTGGAAGGTCATGACAGGGCACTTGGAGTACTGGACCACCACACCCAAAAAGAATATTGCCAGTCACACATAACCGATCACTTTTACGATTTCAATTACGTTTAGAAAAAAATTGAATATAACTTTGGTTAACTTGGCTTTAATGTCACAACCAGGGTTAAATAAGGACGGAGGCATCCGCCAGAGTCATGGGAGGAAAACTTCTTCTGAAGGGGCATCAACGTTTAGGATTATCTAAGGACGAGTATCCAAGGAGACGTCAGACAGGATGATATGAGGCCGACATCTAAAGGGGCGTCAACGTTTAGGATTATCTAAGGACGAGTATCCATGGAGACATCAGACAGGATGATATGAGGCCGACATCTAAAGGGGCATCAACGTTTAGGATTATTTAAGGACGAGTATCCTAGGAGACATCAGGCAAGATGATATGAGGCCGACATCTAAAGGGGCATCAACGTTTAGGATTATCTAAGGACGAGTATCCAAGGAGACATCAGACAGGATGATATGAGGCCGACATCTAAAGGGGCATCAACGGTTAGGATCGTATAAGGTTGGGTATCCTAGGAGACATCAGACAGGATGATATGAGGCCGACATCTAAAAGGGCATCAACAGTTAGGATCGTATCAGGTTGGGTATCCTAGGAGACATCAGACAAGATGATATGAGGCCGACATCTAAAGGGGCATCAACAGTTAGGATCGTATCAGGTTGGGTATCCTAGGAGACATCAGACAAGATGATATGAGGCCGACATCTAAAGGGTCATCAACAGTTAGGATCGTATAAGGTTGGGTATCCTAGGAGACATCAGACAGGATGATATGAGGCCGACATCTAAAGGGTCATCAACGGTTAGAATGAAATGAGAGCAGCCATCATAGATCTATATTCTATTCTCCTGCGTGTCATGCTAATGCCAATCAGCTAATCGACTCCTCGGGACTTGCTGTAACCTGCATTTTCTCGTTTTGATTACAATTTACCCATTCGGACATTTCCGAAAAGAATGATATATGACTAACCAGTAATCATTGTTTGATTCCAAGATGAGCTATTGTATTATACATCACTCATAGAAAATGTGAAACACATACTGCAGGTGTCATCTTACAGTGTAAAACAGGTTATCTGTCGTACGACATTTAACGTATACTTACAGAAAAAAACTAGCGATAGATACTTTGTTTCCTCAATAAAAGACCAGACTTGTGTAATGTATATTATTTGGGTGATTTTTAGTGTAAGGGTAGGGGTGCAGAGCTTGTTGATGTGGAGATATTTGAATTTTTGGCATTTTAGCATAATCAGTCATTAATGTACTGACCACATCATTGTCATCTTTGTTTTTCCTGACACATGTTTTGCATTCCACACAAACACAAATTTGTTCAATAGATGGAGTAAGCTACATACTCAATAAGATTCCTAAATAATTTTCACTCCGTCATGTGTAACCTAACGATAGCATAGTGGTAAACTCTCCGCTCTTGACACCAATAGTGCTTGGATCGAAACCTCAATTGACATTTTTTTTAATTAAAAAGGGGTATTACATGATGTCATAGTGTAGATAGTAGTAATTGTTACTAAGTACATAAGTGTCTGTAAACGTCCTGTCTAATTTGTATTCGTTACCGTCCGTGCATTTACGTGTATGTCCTTATTTGGTGTTACCTGTTAGGTATTGTCAGTGTCTGTCCTTATATGGTGTTGTCTTGAGACGTGTACATGTCCAGGTGTGACAGGTAAGGAAGTCGTGCGAGAGTGAGTGTGTAGGGTAATAAAACTAGGGATACCCCTGGGTGCTGGGCAGAATCACAGACTAACCACGTCGCTCTGGACGTCCTCGGGAGTCCAGGCACCACATATAGCTACAGGTATAAACCAATGACACGACCCGACGGTCGATGACGTGATGTGCATTCGTAGATACCAGCTAGCAAATATATATTTGCATGCCATTGCTAGACCAGGGGTACCAATAAAAGACCTTTAAACACACAACGATTCCTATTTGAAGGTGTTACATGATATCGAAACTTTCACGACATTGTTTCTATTTTGTTTCGTTGGAGATCATTAAAAAATAATGAAACAATGCAATCGTTGATTGTTTGAGATGTGAAATTTGATCTTAACATAAATCTTTTAAATCTCATGTGGTTTCCAATTACTAGATCTTCAGGTTATCTCTTAAGCAAGAGTGCGAAGTTCTTTTTCTCATCAACAACAAAAAAAGTGGTATGACATAGATATTTCTATAAGGAACTCTCATTCTCTCAATACATCTAAATCAATTATCAGTAAGACAGAAGTAATACATAACAAATGCTTTTAGGTTTGGGATTTACGTAATTTAAACATACTTCATTTCCGTTTGAGAAATCCTGCAAGATCTCTTGATTACGCATTTTCAGAGCAAAAGGTAATACAGCTGAATGTAGATGCAGCAACCCATGTGAAGACTTTTATTACTATTTTGGTGTTTGTCCCCTATACATTCATAATCGAAATCTATTAATAAGACAGTTACAACCTCTCTTTAAGAATTTCATTACATTTACTCATATATGGCGATTAGAAATTAAGCAAAGATGATATATATATCCAGAATATTTAAATACAGTACAGTATACAGTTGCGATAAGACTCAATGACTCCTCTTTAGGTTCAGAATCTTTAAACTATTTTCTGCGAGAGCGCAAATTCGTAGTGTAAGTAGGAAAAAGTCTGGTCTTGTTCAACTAATTGTTTTTCACTATGTTTAGATGATATCATTGTGTATCATGAGAAAGGTAACGTATATTGAACGTATGTAAAACAGATTCCCTACACTAGAACCCATTAGCTTCAAAATCTCCCCATATTTCAGCTTTATTTTTATTTTTATTTTTTGCGAAAACATTGCTTTGCAGCTGGTTATTTTAAATGTGAATACCTTTCGATACGTTGCTTTCATAGGTTGCATTGAATTTTAAGTGAATCAGCACCGTGTACGCTAATGCGCTACACCCACACAGACGATTTCATGAGACCAATATGAGAAAAATACTTAAGGGAGGACGGTGGGCGAGAGTCTGTCTCAAAAGGGTACACATAAAATGTCACTATGTCTAAATTGTACAACATATTTAAATGAGTTATTTAAATATGCAAATGGGATTTTACTCTATATTTCCGGTCTTCGCTTGATCAAAGACTACATATTATAAAAAAAAGTAATACACAAGGACTAGAAAAGTAAGTTTTTAATTTGCGAGTGAAAAGAACTGTAGATGTATGTATTACCTTTTCTTTTTCTATTAATTTTTCAAAACTATTATTGAATCGTAGTGAAATGTTCAAATGAACTTTTTATTTATATTTCATTTAATTACACGTGACCAGCTACTAACAGATAGTTAAATCCAGGATGAGCATTTGTAACGATTACACATAATTCATGGAAAATGTAAACACACTGAAAGCGTCATCTTACACTGTAATACAGGTTATCTTAAAGGAAAAATACACAATGAATACAAACTTCGCTTCCCTAGTAAGAGATCACACTTGTGTAATGTATACTGTTTTTGTGTGTGTGTGTGCGTGCGTGCGTACGTGCGTGCGTGCGTGCGTGTGTCTGTGTGTGATATGGTTTGTGTGTCTTGTGACACATTGTAGGATAGCTGAACATACATGGTATGTACATTGTATAGAAATCAAAGTGGCTATATTGAGTCATACATGTAAAAACACTTCACTGCTAGTCTGATAATATTGATGATCATGATGATGATGGATGTGTTATTGTTGATGATGATGATGATGATGATGATGATGATGATGATGATGATTGATGATGATGATGATGATGATGATGATGATGATGATGATGATGATGATGATGATGATTAAGATGATGATGATGATGATGATGATGGTGGTGGTGGGAGTGGTGGTGGTGGTGGTGGTGGTGGTGGTGGTGGTGGTGGTGAATGTATTATGTTGTTGATGTTGTTGATGATGATGATGATGATGATGATGATGATGATGATGATGATGATGATGATGATGGTGGTGGTTGTGTGTGGTGAAGATGATGATGATGATGATGATGATGATGATGATGATGATGAATGTAGTAGTGTTGTATATCTGTACTGATTTTCTTGTAATTGTATAATGGTCTATAATGTTTTGGAAAATAAAAAAATAATTACAAAAAAAAAACAAAACAAAACAAAACAAAAAAACAAACAAAACAAAAAAACAAAAAACAAACAAAAAAAAAAAAAACAAACAAACAAAAACCACATGAATTGCGACACTATGTGCTCCCAAAGTTGGATCTATGAAATCTTCGTGACTTTTCAAGAATAACTCTGAAGAAAAATTTTACAAAGTTGAAACATCCGTTCTCTTTTTCCGCATCATAGTCTAATTGCCTCCCCTGTTTAATTTTCCTTGTACTGGCACATACTTTTTCTCTATACTTTTATAAGCTTATTCACTTTTTTCCCGATATCCTACTTTTGATTTTAAAATTAAGCTGTTGACCTAAGTATTTCATGTAACTGTTAACGCGACCTTAACACTGTACTCTCCTTACTGTCACAATTTATAACATAGAAGAATTTACGTTCAGATTCATAAGTACGTGTTTTATACAGTTGATGAATTTTAAACAGAAAGATAAAAAATAACAACCGTGATTCCTCTTTTACTAATATTATACTAGGTTCTAATTATAAAGAGTTCATCTCTAATAGAGGCTAATGGTTACCTTGAATGTATCAAAACGAAATCCTGTGTTACATATCGGGGATGTTTCCGGAACTTGTACATCCACCGGATCCTCTATAAAATTGAACAATGCTGCGAAAGATGTCAACCCATTGAAACCATTAGCCACACCTCCACCTGCAAATCCTTGGTATCCATCCAGACAGAGTGGCGCTGGTGAAGACATCGTATTACATATATAACAAAAGACGTTTTTGTATAATGTATAATCATACATGTAGCCATTACGATAGTTTTCACACGTCCACTCTATACTGCTGTCATAATCTGCCCAAAGACCAGTGACGTTACATTCGGTGATCATGGTAGTTTCATCACTACACGGGAATGATACAGTTTCGCTTGGAGGATGGTAAAATATATTGCAGTCGTTATTCCCAATAATAAAATTCAACAACTGTCTTGCTTTGTGAGGAAATACAAATCCACTGTTTCCACAACTGAAACTTGTTTCCCAATATGTTAAGTTATCATCTTGTTCCCAATTACAGTAAGCACAATATTTATTTCGGTACGTGTCGCCCGTCAATGAAGACGACACAGGAAGGTAATCCGTCAAATTGGCGCTAGTCGGTGAAAGTTGTCCATTGTAACACATCATTATTATGTTGGTATCCAAAAATGTCTTGTGACAACGACCTCTCATCAGGAAATGATCGTTAGTGTTTAGTCCATTTTCTTGGAAAGGTTTGAGTTGCGATAAGACACAATGACTCCCCTTTTGGTTCAGAATGTCTAAACCATTTTCTGCGAGAGCTTTATCTATACAACAATTGCCCGAGATCAAGCAAGCGTCATCACAGGAGCATGGTTTACAACAACACAAATCGCTTTGCTCAATACTTCCTATCGTGCACAGAGGCTGGGTGGTACAATGAACCATATACTCAACTATCAACATTTGGTGGGTTTCGTTTTGGATATGTCCTGTCATATTGAGAGCCTTCACGCGCAAATTCGCAGTGTCGTGGATAGTTCTGTAGGCAAAAGTCCGGTCAATTAGGACGAATGTTTCTATCATCATCAGCATTGCCATTTTTACAATCATCGCCATTTCGATCTGAAAAATCATCCACAAATATTGTTCGTATACTTATTTCTGAATGTGTTTTATATACAAATTTTATATGAAAATACATCCAAGGCACTTTATTTCAACGTTTTGCGTCTTGACACTTCGCCAAGCAGATGTGGAAAGATAAAACGAAGAAGTTGAATTATTCATCGAGATTTTACATCAATTATATTTGTTAATAACTGTAGAATTCATTCTTTAATAATTTGTCAGATAAGCACACTAAAACAGTTTAACATCTAAATTCTTTCTACTTAGTGGTTAACGCACACAATGACTTACAATGGTAGTTTTCTTTTAAATTATAATTTATAGAAAGTCTTTGTACAAAATATTCAACTTACAATCCTACAGTGATTCCCGCCTGGAGACTACAATGGTACTTCAGTAGGACAGGTGTGTATCAACAGGTCACATCTCTACATCTGCAGCTCATCACCATCAGGATTGTGGTATAAATAATTAATATATGTTTATAACACCATAGTCTGCCTCCAAGGAACAACTTTATCGGATATATAGTACCGACACTAATGCCTGAAGGGTGCACTATCAGTTATCGTCACTACCAATAACAATGGTCAATGCTTTGTCCCAGAGTTCGTGTAAAGAACGTGTTTATCACATTAACATGAATTTCTCTGTTTACCTAATGTAGTTGCATCGCATAGATTATACCATTCAGCCTCTGTCAACACAAGCGAAACATTCATATGTATGTTTATACAGATTGCACAAAAGATAATATTTTAATAACTTTGATACAGCAGAAGCCTGGGAGTATCTTGAAATCATGACTGAAAGTCGAATGAACTAATAGGTTTATAGAATGGCGGTAAAAAGACTTGATTGGTTCACTACAAGCACTTTATTTATCAGAAACCTAGAAAACATTAATATCACAAACGCTGTTTGTAGCTGGTGTTATTGAAACGTGCCTAGGATCCAAATATCTTCTCTGATTCACGTGATTCCCGGTAAACATGACATCTTTAATGCATTATGATAATTAGAAACGTGCTCGGGGATAGAATATTAATCCATAAATATTTAAAGAGGATAGATCGTTCAATGTTTACCAATATCGTCATTTTAAGTACTCCTGAGTGATCTGGCTTTCAAAATTATCCAGAATTAAACATTCTCGACTTTCGTTAAAATATTAGGGTTAGTGCATATCCACATTATCTCCCGATCTATCCTTCACCATTAATATATCGGACGATTTCTATAGTGCTAACTTGCCTCCTGAAGTTCAAGTTAGACCCTCGCCTCCACTAACGAGTCCTGAACGGACGAAACATGTTTTACACTGTATCTACAGTCTGATTATTTTTAAGTAAAATGAGATTATGTGTTTTTGTACAATATCAAGATAATCCAAAATTTGTTTCTTTGTCCAGTGAAAACCCAAATAGATCATTGGTTAAACCGGGTTTCTTAGAACACCAGCCTACATAATTGATGAAGTAATAGCAACAGCACGGACAAGCAAATTGTCAAATTTTCGAGGCAACCTGTCCCTTTATCAAGACACAAATAGTACACAAATTACATCACATACATATGACATAAAACTAATACAAAGTTATAAATCTAAATCGAGAGCGGTGGTGTAAATTTAGATGTCTCGATAACATTTTCGGCCGATGGACGCCGAATGCCCTTTATAACGGACAAAAAAAACCATCCCAAGTTGTTGTTTGTAAGATGGTGATTAAAATATCAAAACTGTTTTATATCAATCTCGGTATGTTTTGCACTCTATCTCTATATATATATTTGGCTGTTCGTCCATTGCTTCCATCCTTCCAATGTTTCATAAAATATACTTACTATTCAACTGTGTACTTTATAGGATATACACTATCGAACGACTCTGTGGCTAATAAGATTTTAAAACTTTTAGCGATCGTTTAAAACTCGAGTACACATATTTTTGTAGAAAAGCATTAGTTACGGTTCAGTCAAATGCTCGAGATGAGTATTTGATCAACCAAACGCAATCCATCATTTTCAAATATTTTAATCGAGATTGCATATTTGGTTAGAATTTAAAATGCAAGAAAATAACTTAATAAACATTTTAAAACTATTTTTATTTGATATCTCTAAACGCCGGTAACATTGATGAATGACATCGATCAACAGTGACATTTTAAAGTCTCCGAAAGAGTCCCGCAGGCCAACTCTTTAGATTGAAAAGAAATAATACAGGGCAGCGGATTCTCCAATGTCACAAACTAAAAGGCACATATTACATTTAAAGGGATAGGTCTAGGCTTGTATTGATAGTCAGTCGTTTCTTAAATATAAAACTTAATTGTTCAATCGGGAATTAGGGTTAGGGTTTTGGTGTTTGAAAACACCGTGAGGTAAATTAATGAATTACGTTTGATTGTGAAGCATTTCTGAAAGGATCAGATGAAAATTAGCCACAGCTTTCCATTAAAAAACAGTGAAAATACCAAAAATGTTCAAATAATCCCCGCCATCAGATTCAAAGTATTAAAAGATGAGTCACAAATACAGTAGTAATGAATATTTACATAGCAGCAGGTGCACTTATAGTTTTCAATAGTTATTATTTGAAGGTTGGAAGCTATAGTAATTTGATATTGATATATCGAGATAGCAATCAAATAGCATAGCTTTGATGTACTTTGAAGTAGTTAAAACATGGCCATATAACACAAAATGATACAAATGTTTAAGTTTAATCTCTGTTTGTTGTTTCCTTAAACTACTGTATAATTCCCTTCATAAAATTTGTTGAAAGCAAATGGATAGATGAAACGTAAAATGTGTACATTAATCAACCAGAACGTGAGCAATGTGTGTACCATTGACAGATCACGTTTCACATGTAATGTAATGAGAATGTTTCTTTGATTATAAAGAACTAAAGGTGTTCATTTTACCTTTTCTCATCTTTCTACATCGAAGGATGATCCGAGTAATACAGATTCCATTCAATCTTTGCTTAGTGGGAGCTTTCAATTACAGGTACGAGGGAGGATTGATAAGTTGTGAACCTTGTTTTGAAAAAATTATGCAGAGATGTCCTTTTTTCAGCTCTACTATACCCTGACTATTTAAGACTGTCCCAAAGCCCGGGACATTTAGTCAGTTTATGTCGAAGAGGTACCACTCTAAAGTAAACAAGACAATTGACTTTTGCAAAATTTACGAAATCGCTAAAGAGAAATGATTTAATGTTTGCACAAGAAAAGTCTAGCGCCTTAGGATATCCATACTGATACGGTATCAACACAAGGAAATGAAGTATCTTCATATGCTATAGTGAAAAGTGGGTAGCGGAATTTAAGCGTGACAGGCAGAGCCTTGTGGATGACGCCCGTCCTGGAAGGCATGTCACTGTTGAAACTCCAGAAACGGTCAATAATGTCCATGCTATTGTTATGGCTGACAGGCAAATTACAGAGAGACATATAGCCAGTACAATTAGGATTTCACAGGAAATTGTATGGTAGATCTTGCAATGAGATGAGAAAAATAATGCAATATGTTCACGAAAATCCTTAGATATGATGCTCACAACTTATCAATCAGTTCTCGTACATTTGTATGTCTATCCGATGTGATATTGGAGTCTCACCTCCAGGCATCCAGGCATCGGGAATTATCCAAGGACCAAGTTTATATGTAAATTACAAATTATTACCATCAGCAAAATGAGTTATTACAAAAAAGTGATTTCTATTCGTGTTCACCTACCAAGTGGCCGGATTTATAAATTACTGATTTCAAGTTAAAGGGCAACCTGCATCAGATACACACTCTAAACCGACTTTAATATTGTTAAGACATTCTGTTTAAGAGTAAATTTTGCAAGCTAAACCAATATTAGAGAGTTTAATCTAGTGACCTTGACGTGACCTCCAACATTAACCAACATTAAGCTATCTATCCTCTTTAAACATTCATGCAATAACTTTCCCTTCTGTCGTTAAGGGCGTCATTGAATGAATGCGTTGTGTAGATATGATTATATGATGTATCGAGCGATATTTGCCATGGAATAAACGTCATAGTACTTGCATTAACGTTTATCGGAGTAGATATATGGATTCTCAGGTAAATCACAATACGACAACATACTAAAATGATACTTTGAATGTACAAGTCATCTTATTTACAATTCTGTTTAATGTTTGTTCTGAACAATATCCGTATTAATTGACTTGTCGCGAACTCTAGACTCACCGATAATCTTCAACATTTCTGTGTCTGTATTTTCCTGGATTATTTAATCGGGACTATTCCCTATAAAGTTTACTTCAGTAGTATTCAACCTGAGTGAGCATGTATGTTTTACTTCTGTGCTGAATGTGTAATGAATGATGTCATCGTGTCGATCATTCGAAATGCAGGGATTCTAATGGGTATCTATGTATTAACAGGAACGACACATTCCCCTGTGCATTCACCATTCATTGATTTTATCTCCCCGTGTACGTCACACTGACTTAAGCGCCAGTCAGTTACATCACAGGAAGCGAGCCATGCGAATTAAAGGTAATCATATCTTCTGTTTGTACAAACACATCAGAAAACGAACAAATATGTCAACAGAATCTTAATTCAAACTCCGAATTTAATAATAAGGAAAAGTATTAGCAAAAGAAAATAAAAAACAACATTATATATTTAATATTTCATCAACAAAAAATTGTGTTTATTATTGCATATAAAAACAGATCAACATGAAAACCAAAGAAACAAAACAAAAATAACCAAACAAATACCAACATGTCAACATAATACAAAACCAAATTCAACACAACTATGGTAAAATGTGAACGAAAAAAAGTTTGACATGGAGACCTCTGTACAAGGAGAATTTGACCATGTGTTCCGGAAGAAGTATATTTTCCTATTTTAGACAACACACGCCATGCAATTCTTGGTCATTCCGAGTAAGAAATGCCAATTCATATAAGTAATGTGACGTTCCTTAATAAACATATTATATACATCAACAGTTCCAACAAGCAAATTAACAAGCATTAAACACATTCAATTCGTATCGCACAAAGACTGTTTCTCCATATGGCGTACAAGTTGTTAGCTAAAAGATTTATCTACAATATATTTCAACTGAGTAAAACTGTCCATGATGCTAAAATCAACATAGTTTTTAGTATTGATCTAGACAAGCAGAAATCGCCGTACATATAGCATGTCAATCATAAAAAATCATTTTAACATCAGTTGATTTTTATTTTATTTTGTTTTAAATGGTATAATCGGCCTGGCATGCCGTCCATTTTGTACTTTCAAAGACAGTGATCCTCATTTGAAGTTACATAATATCTTTCTCTTTTTCTCTATATTTATCACATTCTCAAGAATCACGGAGAAATTTGGACCAGCACTATATTCTTTTAACTGATAACGCTGTTATTGTCTGTGTTCATAAGTCTTAGAATTTCTATAGTCTGTTTCGTGGTAGTCGACGTCCATTACGTATGACCACTCGTAGCCAAGTTACAGATTTTTTAAAAATCCTTCTAGGAAATATCGACAAGCTTTGTTATGCAGTACTATCACTTTCCTACAGGAGTTTATATCCCACAGTCCACTCGCGAAATAAGGTATTGGTTCCACAAAGGAGGAAATGAGTTTGGTGTATATCAAATGTGACATCCCTCCCGCGTTAAGCAACTCTGAGTAAATGGCATAAAGGGTCTGCTCGCCTATTTACACAACTCTCGTACAGCGAGATGTAAATCGAGATTTTCCTGAAATCAGACTGAGGTTACTATATTTAGAACAAATGCTTATTTCAGTGTCGATCATAAATAAATGTTTATAGTTCGTTAACAATGAAGATGGGTTTCTCCTCTATTTAAACTCAGTTTCCAATTTTTACTCTGCTAACTCGTGAAGCAAACTTTGCATTGAATGCTCTCCTGGTACAATGATCGCAATCCAACTTTAACCATAAAAGGTTTCTATCAACGCTGTGGAATGCTTTCCTCATGTCAAGAGAAAACAGAAAAAATTCGATTGTTTCAGGATCTTGCGGTTGTTTAGTGAGGTATAAAGTGCGTACTGGTGATCCGAAACCCATTCTGTTCATCAACTAGGACATCGTTAACTTCTAACCATTTACATAATCTTTGGTTTAGTATGTCTGCATAAACTCACACACGAAACTGGTATCAGAGATATCCCTCTATAGCTAAATGGGTCAATCGGGTCTCCTCCCCCTTTAAATAATACTGTTACTCCAGTTATTCTGGTCTACACCAGAACAGAAAGAATGACATAAGATCGTGTGCACTGTGTATATAGGCTGAAGTTTTAGCGCCTCACTTTGGATTTCGTCTTACTTAGTTTATCTACGATTTACGAAACATGGTATTTTTTTCTTGTTTAATTTTTATGCTTAAGTTCGTTTCTATTTCTGGATTTCTTTAATTTGCTTAATGGCATTGTTTTGGTAGTGATATATAGGGAGGGCCTGTAGTGAAGAACCAACAGCAGAAGTTAAATCTGATCATCTTGATTTGGCCATGGTCATGGTGTAGAGTGACTTCAATACAGTTTGGTGTAATTTACTCTTTGTTATTGACTTTATGCTAATTTATTCTAAACATGTGTCTATTATCAAATTTATTTACCTTAGTTACAATTACAAACTAGCAAAACATAGCAAAACGTACACTTCAATTTATATCAACTACACATTTTTGTCAATAAAATATGAAGAAAATTAAAAATGGAACACTTATGATACATTTTTGAGTCATTGATCAAAAAGATCATATGATATTTTTTGTAAATAGCGACAGTCTATTACAGAAAGTTATAGAAAGTCTGAGGTGGTGTTGATATTTCTAGATAAACACCTTTATAACCACGATTTCGTCACGGTTATTGCTAAATCATAAACACGTACAACAGTGCTCAACGAAGCGTCAACTAGAATTCAGTAATGCCGATATCGTTAAAGGGTAAGAATTGTGTTGCCAGTTGGAGGGAGAGGCCACTAAAGGAAGTTTTCAACAAATCCCTCTTTGTTGCCGTAAAAGTCTGGATCCTAATATATATCCCTGTATACATCACTGCGACGCCATGTTAACAAACTATCACAATTTTTCTGTCCACACTCTAGGTGAGCCATGTTAAACACCACGACAAGTGTAGTTGTTTTTATTCTCGGATTAGGACAAATAGTTCAGGTGACATCCACAAATGACTTTCTCGAACACAACGGCAGTTTACCGGAAATAGCGGTGTTGTATGAGAAATATTGTCCGGATATCAGTCTCTGCACAACAAAGCCATCAGGACCAGTCACAACTACACAGTCTTGTTGTGGTGGCTGTAGTTGTTCACTGAAGTGTTTCCAAGCAGGAAACTGCTGTCCAGATGTGCTTCAATACGAAAACGAGACTTCGTACGAGACATGTGTTCGTCCTCAATATCTGCCGTACGGTGTCACCATCTCGAGTGCTCCATCGTCTTACTTTATGATCCACAAATGTCTGTCGGAGTTCGGAGATACCGACATAGCTCGAAAGTGTGAAATTATTCCCCATAATCCCAGAAACCTAAGTGACTTCCTTACCACACTTCCCGTCTCAAAGGTTAATTCGACCAGTGTGTACCGGAATTCATACTGTGGTCTGTGTAACGGAGAATTCCGGGAGGCTCTTGTGCAGTGGACAATTGAAATAGTGTGTGATTCAGGAAATGACATTCAAACAAAGTCTTTTGATGAGCTGCTGCATGCTCTGAACCGGGACAAGAACTGTAACCTTATTTACCGCGTACCATTGGGAATGAATATCACGTCCCGTGTATGTCGTTGGGGTGATATCACTAGGTGTAATCAGACGGGGGATATGGATAACTATAACAAAACGCTGGATGACATGTGTGGAGCGTTTACTTCGCTATATAAAGGCTTGTATAGAAATGTGTTCTGTTACCTGTGCAACAACGACGTACACGGCAACTGTACAGACGTCTACCCATGGGCTGCGCTTAATTCGAAAGCATTTACAGCCATATTAGATTTCGGCATCATAGGTTATAAAACGCCTCGTCAGGACCATCACACTGACACATGCTCACCGAAACAGCAGTACGACAGATACAAGGTAGGATTTAAATCAAGATAAAAAAGCTAACAGCATTTCGATAAAGGACATACTGTGTCGTACCCTTAGCATGTTATGAGTAGCTGCAAATCTTTGTATACGAATTGAACTACATATTTGTTGTGTTATCGGTGGTATGAACGTTATCAGATACTGGGTATATACATTTGTAGAAAGTAACGTCTGAGCACTGAAATCAGCAATGTATTGCTGGACCGCATACCAGCCTAGCTACCACCAAAGCGGCGAAAAGAATAACGACGAAAACACGTCTACAAGGCACACAAAAATTCGCATAATTGCTTGCCAAAGAGCTGTCATCAGTTTGCAACTTGTCTAACAGTTTCTAATGCGAATTGAGGTAGATAAAAACGTTTCACTTATTGGTAATGTCGTAAACTAGGTGCCTGCCCCTCTGAACAGAGATCGGCAACTTAAATCACTGTCAAAGCAAAATCTTAATTCAAAATGGCGCAACCGTGTGTTTAAAAGTTACCTTTGTATCCCATTTCTCTCACACTATCATGCTTACCAAGTGAGGTTTAAATCAGTTAGGTTTACTGAAATAACGAAACCGGGACGTGCACGACCTGTAGGACTTGATATTTCTGGAGTGTCTCTGTATTATTTTTATGCTTTATTGATCTGAAGCAATACATCTTATGGATTCTAATACATAAATATACAACATGTATCGTATACAATAGAGAGAGAGAGAGAGAGAGAGAGAGAGAGAGAGAGAGAGAGAGAGAAACATTGTTTCTATAATCATAGTTACATACAAAAACTTAGTGAGTTTATTACAATAGACTAGATCGCAGTTTGAGAGCATGATACAAATACTTTCCCAAGTTACAGAAGTCTTTTACATTAGGAGTTTTAAGTAAATCTACTCATTTGAAAACGGAGGGATTACTCATATAGTATGCGGATTTAATATATTTACAACACAAATTGTTATAAAAGGGACATTTAAGTACAAAATGGAATTCATCCTCAATGTCAGAATTACAAAGTTTGCAAGTGCGCTGTTCCAAAGGAATGTTTGTATACCTTCGTGTTTCTACATTTAAACAATGAACAGACAAACGCATGTTGGTGATTAGTTTCTTATACTTCACAGGAATAGGCTTACACAGGTACAGTTGTAGTGAGACTTTGTCAACCAAATGTTTATACAATACATATTTGGAGGACGAATTGAAACGACTCATCATATCCTGTTGGAGTTGATAAGACATTCTTTGTTTAGCAACAGCTAAAAAAGATTTAATATTAACAAACTCCTGCTTTAACCACTGGTCATATATACCAACTCGTTCTTTACAAATGACACCCAACTCTTACAGTTTGAACTAGATATACATTTGTTATACATATAATCGTAGCAATTACGTAATAAACAGTTATCTGATTTCATGAATTTACACCAATATTTAAATATTCTCAATTTACGCGAATAAGATAAAGGGAACCTTCAAAGTTCAAGATACACCATGGCAATAGCCGTTGATCGTTTAACTCCTAAAATGTTCTTCCAAAAATCTAAATGTAGCTTTTCAATATCTGGTGCGGTGTCTGTAAGCCCTTTTGACACGATTATACAATGTTTGGAATAATGACGGTCATTTTTAATTCGAGTAACACACGACCCTGTCTTTCTATGGTATAGTTTCACACCTCAGAGACGGGCAAATGGTGTGCCTCGGGCGACAAATATTACCTGGTCACGGCTTGTGATATACATTTTAATGTGATATAATATTTTCACTTCTTAGCCCCAGAGTATGAATGGATTAATTCTTAAATGTATCAATCGATTATTGATTTTATTGGTTTTGCGTTTTGGTGTTTTAAAGTGTCTCATAAGTCAAATTAATATAGCTGGATCGTATTTACTAGTACATTTTATAACTATGATCTGTATTTTACTGTCGATCAATACGAGACACTTTAATTAAACTATGTTATTAGTACATATACGTGACAAGTACGGATCCGTACCACTAAGTCTCCTTTGTAACAATTCAGTTCAATTCTTCAGTCCAGAATGACATATTAGATATCAGCATTTCGCATCTCTAGTTCATCAACTATTGAGCATAATTACCATTAATGGTTGTGCACAACCGTGACGAAATCGTGTATCTAAAGATATTTATCTAGTAATGTCAACAACACTTCAGATTTTATACACGGTCACTATCTACAAGCATCATATTCAATTCCTTTCTTTATTACATTGAGCCTTGCAGCTTATCAGTTCAGAATGGCATAAAACATATACAGGTTTCACCGAGTTACGTTTGATTTTGGTTGTTGTATAACTGATCATAACTAATTGGTAAGAGATGAGGACCTGTTAAACGTCAAGGAGACAGCTTGTTTAGTTGATGTTACGTTATTCCGTCCCAAGTAGAAGTGAAGATTTTACAAATGCAAAGTACATTTATGTAGTATACAATATGTTATACAGTATATGTAATGGACATACAGTAAAGGTGAATTATAAAGAAGTATACAGCGACATAATGAATATCGCCACATCTTGACTGATAGAAACTGATTAATCATTAAGAAAAGGTTTAATATCATGCTGGTGCTGATTAAAAGATAATCCAAAACAAAAACTTATTAAGTCATAAAAGATATCACAGCAACTGACATGAATTGACATGTTAACTTATTTTGGATAAGATCAGGAAGATCTAGGAATTAATCCAAAATACTGAACATTAGTTTACATGACAATGCTTTTAGACGGGGAATTAACTATGACAATAGGGGAGATAACTGTGGTAGAGAGATCACTTTGCAGTGAGAGGTATTGGCAATGCCTGAATACTAAGTGACAGCTCTTAATTCAAATATAAAACATTATTAAAAACTAAGAATAATTGCTTTGTAATGTTATTCAATGACAATGTCACGTTACAGGATTGTTAACACAAGACATATACTTCCGGTCTATATTGTCACTTCCGGTTGACAAGCTTACTTCCGGTATAAACTTTTGACTTCCGGTTTAAGAATTGATATATATTTGGTTATTTTGACAAAGCAATTATAACAGCTCAAGGAGACTATTGGAAAATAAACTTTCTAAACCATGATTTATGAAGTTTCTGTATAGCTAAAAAGCATTTAATAACTGCTTAATTCAAATGTCTCAGCTACCAGCTACATGTAGGAACATGTATTTCCTTGTTTATACAATGAGTAAACACGCCATAATTTCTGGTTTGAACAAGTGAATGGGTGACTGTTAGCAAATTATGATTTGGCTCTGATTTACTTATAAATCTTAGGTTCAGAAGATATAATCAAATAAAAACCTAGCAAACATATACCTGTACAATAGGGACAAAGTGACAAGGTCTGGTGTTGTGAATAAAGGATATTTCGACCACACGTGCTGAGCTTGATATTTACAGGCGCTCAGCCAACAGAGGAGATAACTCTAAGCTGAAAATTTAGCTAGGTAGGACACAAGTATTTTATAAGGTGCATATTAATTATGCTAAGCTTCAAAACATTACTTGTAAAGTAATATTTTGTCTGTTAAGAATTTTTTCTTAATTCACAACACATATATGTAATTACAACAATAGTGAAACATTTGGAATGCAATGAATAATAAGACTAATAATATGAAATGTTCTGTTTTAAATTGTAAAATGTACAATAATTAGTATGAAATTTATAAGTAATGTTTACAGTAATGTCTTATATTTCAAAAACTTTGTAAAATATAAGAAATATGACATTGGCTCACCTGTAAACATCATGGAGACAGCTTGTTTAGTTGATGTTACTTTATTCTGTCCCAAGTAGAAGTGAAGACTTTGGGGAAATACAAGTAATTCAAGGGACTTTCCGTGAAAGTGAGATTCTGATTGGCTGACCATTTCGTAGCGCATGCTCAGATTGGCCTCAGGTACGCGTGGGTTGTTAACAAAATTTTACTCAACGCAGCGGTAATAGGTTTTAATGAGTGTCAGGACTGGCCGAAATGAATCAAAGTGGCTTAAGCCTTTGTAAATATACTGCTTTTGAGACAGGACGATCAGTGCAAAAAGTAAGTTTGTACAATGAAATATAGACTTAGGTTGGTCAAATACAAAAACACTTTTACAAAGATTAGTGGTGAGACAGTTCCGGCTTTATCTCAATCTACGGGAATTTCCCGACTAGGGCCTGTTTTTATTAGAAGAATAAAAAATTAATTGCCATAAGATATAATTAAAAAAAATGTAAATTTTTAAGAATTGTGGACCTAAATTTAATGTAAATTATAAATACTTCCAGAATATTTATCAAAATGTAAATTTTTAAGAATTGTGGACCTAAATTTAATGTAAATTATAAATACTTCCAGAATATTTATCAAAATGTAAATCTTTAAGAATTGTGGATCTAAATTTAATGTAAATTATAAATACTTCCAGAATATTTATCAAAATGTAAATTTTTAAGAATTGTGGACCTAAATTTAATGTAAATTATAAATACTTCCAGAATATTTATCAAAATGTAAATTTTTAAGAATTGTGGACCTAAATTTAATGTAAATTATAAATACTTCCAGAATATTTATCAAAATGTAAATCTTTAAGAATTGTGGACCTAAATTTAATGTAAATTATAAATATTTCCAGAATATTTATCAAAATGTAAATTTTTAAGAATTGTGGACCTAAATTTAATGTAAATTATAAATACTTCCAGAATATTTATCAAAATGTAAATCTTTAAGAATTGTGGACCTAAATTTAATGTAAATTATAAATACTTCCAGAATATTTATCAAAATGTAAATTTTTAAGAATTGTGGACCTAAATTTAATGTAAATTATAAATACTTCCAGAATATTTATCATTAAAAAAATGAAAAAGGGTTTCATAAAGGAAAATGAAAAAATGTAAATTTTCCTTATAAAACAGGTGTGAACAACAAAAAACACTTTCTCATCCAACACACACCCCATCAATTAGCATAG